CCTGATCTCAAAATCCAAAAACCAAGATCACTTGAGTTACAGCAAGCGAAGGCTACATCCAAGGAAACGTTCCCACACTACTTCAACGAACTTGGATAGATTCTTGACAAGTACAACTTGAAGGATAACCCACATCGGATATACAACATTGATGAGAAGGGAATTGTGGAAAACCACACTCCTCCGTCTGTGGTATCGCAAGTCAGGCCACCCCATATGCTGTCACCTGTCTGAAATCTAGCACTACTACGATATAGGGTGCGGTAGAGCTTCAGGCGCCATAATACCCCCGTATTTTGTATTCATGGGGAAAAGAATGCGTGAAGAAAACATGACAGGATCAACACCAGCAGCAGCTGGAACCGTTTCTGTTTCTGGATGGTTGAATTCCGAAATATTTCGTCAATATCTTGAACACCATTTCCTGAAGAATTCCGTCACAGCGTCTGTTGATCGTCCCTTGCTTATTCTCTATGATGGACATAGATCGCATGTGTCATTATCACTGATAACCTGGGCTCGTGAACACAACATTATATTGTTTGTTTTACCGGCGCACACGTCACATGTCTTACAACCTATGGACGTTGGCTGTTTTGTACCTTTCTCCAAGATTTACAACAATCTCCGACATAAATTCATGAAGAACAATTCCATCGTTGCTGTTGCAAAACATTCTGTTTGTGAACTGCCATGTAAAGCATACTCCTTGGCATTAACTCCATCAAATCTACAGTCATCATTCAAGACGTGTGGGATTTATCCATTTGATAACAGTACTGTAAGTCGCATTAACTTTGCCCCTTCAACTGCTTTTCACACCCAATGTGAAGACACTGATAGATCCGAACGTGTCGACAATTCTAATGACAAAACAACAACATCGTCTGTCAAGAACTTCCTTTTTTCAAAACAAAGCGTTTTGACTGATAAATCGCAGTCTACAAAGAAGAGGAAAGTTCTTAGTGCGGTCATCGGTGGCAAGGCCATTACAGAGGATTCAATTATGGAGAAAGTTAGAGAACACCAAGTTAGCAATCCCCCTGTGAAGAAAACAAAAATCTGCAAATAAAACACCAACATCGAGACAAAACATCATGACAGATAAATCATCGTCTCCTCAGCCAGGTACATCAAGCATTTACTTCCGTAGAATCGATCCCGTCAATGATTTTTCTGATGAATAAAATGAGATCACAGATGATGAACTTTGCTGTCAGTGTCACAGATTTACACCACAGGAACTCGAAGGATGCCAGAGCATCATGTTTGTCTCATGAGCAGAATGCACACACCCATCGTGCAAACACTGGTCACCTGAAAGTATGCACACCCGTAAGAGTTGTTCGTGCCACGTCAGAATTCTGGTGTCCGTGTCATGATGAGAAGGAGGAATAACTTGTGAAAGAGTATTTATCATGCCAGTGATGTACATGGGATTTCTCTTGTGAAATATTTTGGAATTATTCTTTCTTCGTTACTTTGTGCAACGAATGTTAACCTGTATAGATATGGCTGAGACTTTTTGATTGACACCAGCATCCTGAACTGATGATGTCACTTCCATGCAGCGATGTTTGGACAGCAAAGTTAGCGGCCGACAGAAGTGTCGAAACACGAGGTAATCTTATCGTATTTATTTTAGTTGTCAATAAATAACCACTTTCAATGGTAAGATAGACAATATCAAGATTTATTATGCATCGTCTGAAATACACGGCAGGGTTTCTTATGTGACCGAAAACCGATTATACGAGGATACTGTGACTATGTGTCCCAGTCCACCCAGCTGTGAATGGGTACCTCGTTAGGATGAGAAAGCCACAATAACTCGATGCACCTAGTAGCTGCAAGAGTTGTATACTCCCCAGGGAACTGAGATTGATAATACAATGTGCAGCTGAGATTGACATCCAATGATCGAGGGAAAAAATACCAACGCCTTGAGCATGCACTAGTTGCCTGGATATGTGCACTATATAAATATCCTATAATAATAAAAAATAATAAAATAAAAATATCTGCTGGAGGAAGACTACAAGCTCCTATGTGGCAAGGCATAACTAAAGCACACTGTTTATACACACATATGGAGATAAGAAGTGCGTGGTTCTGTAGGTTCAGTTGAAAAAAAACCCAATGATATATACTTAATGATATAAATTTTGGGGTGACAGCATGTGATATCATATGTACAGGATATCCATGATGCTCTGAAACAAATCCTGTTAGTTAGCCAACAAAGAGCATTCAATCAACGTATTGTCAGGTAATCTTTCCCCCAAAGTATGTTGTGTTTACATAGTCACCTAGACATGGTGTATACTTTCTGCTTTAGTAAACATACATATATAAACACTTCTGACAAATCCACTGTGCAAGATAACACTGATTGATCAATCAATGTAAAGTCAGCTGTATCCCAACTGACCATTCTTCCATTACTTCTAACACATTCACATCACATCAAACAAAATCTTTGACAGAATAATTACACTGGACATGAGTAGTGCCAAATGCGAACCACTGAATGCTATATAACCCAGGGATGAACTTTGCCGAGTCACTGTGCATAGTCTAGGTAGTGTGAGTGTGTCACCATGTTAATACTTGTAATAAAGAGCATCAACAGACTGATGACAAACATACAAGTGTATGGCTATACAAAAATACATGGGTGAGTGAGTGAGTTGAGGTGAGTTGAGTTTTTACGCCGCACTCAGCAATACTCCAGCTATATCGCGGCGGTCTGTAAATAATCAAGTCTGGACCAGACAATCCAGTGATCAACAGCATGAGCATCGATCTGCGTAATTGGGAACCAATGATATGTGTCAACCAAGCCAGGGAGCCTGACCACCGATCCGATTCGCCTCTTACGACAAGCATGGGTTAGTTAGTGAAGGTACATTCTAAGTAATCTAACCCGGACCTTCACGGGTTACATGGATGACAAGAAGGGAGCAGTAATTATTGTTTTATACCAAATTTGCCTGAAAAGAACTGAATTGCTGCAAAAATAACATGTACACATATTTGCTGTATACTGAAGTACATTTCTGTACATAACTGTGTATACACAAGACCATAAGTTGAAAGGTTTTAAATCTTTGAAGGGCATTTAGAAGTGGAATGCATAAGAAAAGCAAGATTTATGGATGTCAACTTCTTTATTATGAATAACACGACATGTCGGGGTGTATGCTTGCTCCTTCATCATCACCTGAAATAGTAAGCATACACTCTGAAACGTCGTATTATTCACAATAAAGAAGTTGACATCCATAAATCTTGCTTTTTCTTGTGAAAGATTTTGGTAAGCATAAACCGATCAAATATGAGAATTCAAAGGGATTCCTCTGGTTATCAAAAACGTCCTCCCAGCTTGCCCAAAATTCAGTTTGTTGAGTTGCTGATACAATTTGGCATCTGGAGATCACACAGGATTATTAAAATAGCACCAGCTGGGGCTGTGTCCCTTCAACTGGTTCTTTGACACTGAACATAGAAGAGTTTCTGAATCAGGAAACATCTATGCTGTGTACAAGACACATTCCCGCAGGCTATATAGAAATGTTCACACATACTGAAGTACACGGAGAACTGTTACATTCCATGAAGCACAGCATCACCCAGAATCAACTTGTAATCAGGTGATAGTTTGTTGATTGTTTTACGCCACACTCAGCAATATTCCAGCTACATGGTGGCGGTCTGTAATAATCAAGTCTGGACCAGACAGTACTGGTGAACATGGGAGTGCCAGTCGAATTTGGTCAAATTGACCAGGATTTTTTGGTCAAAATGCCCCAATTTATTTTAAATGATTAAATATATGCCATAAATGCAATAAAATTTTGATTCCTGAAGTTAACTTTATTTAAATGTTTTTGTATTAACATGTAAATAGGAACAATCAACAGTTGTTCAAAATCTCATTTAAAACACAGTTAAGAATCATATTTTTATCTTGAGGCAGATCAGTCCTATATAAGCTATACATAACTGACTCACAGAACGCAATGGGCATTACAGTGTTTCTATATTCCTTTTGCTCTTATGAGTTTACTAATGGAACATTTAGTAGGAATATTAATTCCCAATAACTTCTATATGAAGAATATAATATCAAACTTGACAAAAACTATGCATTTATGGCATATATTTAATCATTTTAAATAAATTTGACCAAATTTGCTGAGACATTTTGTAGCTGGGGCAATTTGACCGGTACCCGAATAAGGACATCTACATAACATCTGTGAATCACGTTGGGGAATATGTGGATACCGGGTACTGTTCTGTATTCTGTCACCTAAATCCTGAGGTTAGATTTCAACTACCCATCACAACAACATACAGAAGCCAGGTAAGTGTAAGTAAGGTACTTCTATCCTGATTGACTAGCCTACTCTCCCTGCAGTGAGTACTCTGCTGGGCATGAGGACATGAGAACTATGTACTGACTGAAGCACCAATAGTAACCCAGAGATCTGCCCCCTAGATTTAACTGATTTACGGTCGATATGAATATTCACAGTAATAATCGTAATATACGGCACTACATTGGGATACTCAGCTCCACAATATCACACAGCAGTGAATAGGACTATCACACATGCGATAAAATGTGTCAAAAACGTGTCATTATGGAATACATGAGGGTATATGTTAGGACGTACAACGTATATCATTCATTTCCGAACCATCAAGCAAATGTCTGTTTTAATGACTGGAGTTTTCTGAATGGTTTCTGGTCTATCTGGTTGGTCTCTCCACTAAATATCGATAATTCAGCAACAGGCATGTAATGTGACGGCAATGTAACGCAAGGGGCGAAACTCGCGTCTTGAGCTAGAAATATCCAGCTGTCTTTCGCTCTGCGGCACATCATGTTACAAGAAGTACCAGTCCTGATACTGTCATTCACGAAATGTGAACAGAGAGTGTAGTGTGAGTTAACCCGTGTTTGATTAACACTGATCGAGCGTGAAGCCTACCTGTCGGTGTTCATGGTGGAGCTAATGGAAGAGCTCGCCTTCATACTCTTCACACTGCTGCATTTGCTGGTAATAGGAATCAACGCTATACGCTTTCCGTAATTCATTCTGCCGTGGGGCAGGCACTTTTCAGGTTGTAATCCCAGAGACAACAGGAACACTCCAATTTATCTAGGTATTACCTAAACATTTAAACCTCACACACATTGCTTCCGCCATCAGGTTATTATTATGTTTATTAGGCCACCAATGAGACGTTCTTCCTGCTGATAGTACAACTCGTATACGCGCGTGCGCGATATACTATATGAAACTCTTTGCCGGGATGTACATATACATCGTGATAGGTCTTAGTCATCGCTAAGGCCTGACGCTGCACTGAGTACATAATGGCCTTCAACACACTCTTAAAAGCTGTAAAACGGAATTGTAGTTCAGTGTACAGAAATAGGTCAAGTATGCTTGGAAAATTCTTATTTGAATGGGAGATTAATATATCAGATAACTTACGAAGCCTATTTAGCAACATTATTTTTGTTTACCAAATAATTGTGTTCAGATTTCATTGAACAATGATATCACCATTTCCTACGTGTAGTTCTTAAATAACCGTTTGTTATCTCTCTGATTATATTGCAAACATGATTTATAATTATTTTACTTATCTAGTTTTGCCACATTTCATTCGCATTTTGGATTATCATGTCTTGAGATATTTTTGTACAAGTTAGATAGAAAGCAAATAAGATATGTTTTTAAAAGTGTAGTAAGGTAAATAATATATGGTAGGCATGATCAAATAATCCCAAAGGGACCGTTCATAATGTATGACTAAAGGGGTGTAATGTGTCACTTAAGGGGTCACCCATTTTGTTCTTATCACGGAGGTAGACTGTGTGTGTGTGCCCCAATTTAGTGTGTATGTCAGTGGTTTGGGGGTCAGCAATATTTGTACACAGAAATGTTAAAAGGTTATGCTTAAAAAAATTATGGGAAGTGTGTGTGGGTGGGGTTATGGGGTGATTTTGTACATGACATGCAGGGGGTCACCTGCTTTGTACATAAATGTTAGGGGACGTCATTCACATTGTCCATACTACCCCATAACAATCGTCATCGACAATTATCATTACATCTTGCTTGTAATGGAGAGGTATTCACATAAGCCATTTCGTCTTGTTTACCGCTCCGTTTTGAAAATAATAGCCTCTATCGGAAGTGTTTGGCCTGTGTTGTTCGGTCCAACTTATCCCAGTCCCAAATTTTGTGATGACCTAACATCAATCACATGTGATATAAAATGTGTTTGTAAATTATGAATATTAGTGCCAGGATTTAATGTGACCGTTTACTTTAAACGAATTTGTCCGTGAAAGTTATAGCCCCATTGCTGTCTATCACAATAGTGAATATGATGATCTGTCATCAAATGTGTTAACATCGGTAAACAAGCAGTATTATAACTACCTTAGGGACCGTTCATAATTTATGGCTAACAAAATGGGTGACCCCCCTTAAAATCATCATCACACCCCCACCCCCACACCCCCACGCCATAAATTATGAACGGTCCCTTAACACAACTTTATCACCTCGCATGTCACAGTGTGGCAGTGGTTCCTATCCTATCATTGTAGTTCTTATTAGAAGTATCCCTGACTCTTCTCTATACGACCCGTGAAGATCCGGGGTACAATAGGTCTTCAGCAACCCATGTGCTTGCCATAAAAGGTGACTATGCTTGTCGTAAAAGGCGACTAACGGGATCGGGTGGTCAGTTTCGCTGACTTGGTTGACACATGTCATCGGTTCCCAATTGCGCAGATCGATGCTCATGCTGTTGATCACTGGATTGTTTGGTCCAGACTCGATTATTTACAGACCGCCGCCATATAGCTGGGATATTGCTGAGTGCGGCGTAAAACTAAACTCACTTCTCCATAATCTGGGAGCTGACGTGACAATAATTACATAATGCTCATGAATGGTTGGAATGTTATCTATAACGAATAATACATTGTTTAAAAAACCTGATGGTTCACAAAGTAGAAATTGCCGATTTTAACTGAGATTTGTTGATATAAATGTCGCCATGACAATGACAATATTTGCTCAAAGAAAAATGTCTTTTGGGTTTAAGATATGTTTCTATACATAATTACTTCAATGGTGTAATTTTGTCTGGTTAGCCAGGAAGATGCAGATGATGTCTACCCAACAGTAGCATGGCGATGTTTATGAAGCAGACATGGGGGTGGGGAATGGTCAGCGTGACGGTAGGCGGGTAGGGAGGTACATGGAGGAGGGGAGAGCGACAACGGTTATCACGGTGGGGGTTGTTCATGAGGCAGTGGTGATGCGGGAAGTATCCAACGCCCCATCCACAAGGTGAACCTTCCGTGAACCAACAGGCCATACTCTTAAGGTTAATTGCGGGTCGTGATGGCAAGGGCCATAATCAAGTTGCTGTTATTTCAGATGTCTTAATAGCTCTGTGAACAGTTAGAAATGCGACTTTATTTTAACTCGGGCAATATATAAACATGTTGGACACTCTGTTAAATCCCATATCCAAGTGCCTACCACAGAAGGTTCAGTCGGCCCGGCGGTTAAAGAACCAATAAACTTTGTTTTTTGTTACTCTTTTAACCATTACATATGAAAGATTTGTGGTTAGTCTTATGCGGAACACCAAATTTATTTTTTTAAAAACTTGTTGTTAATTAATACCGAGCGATTAAAAGTGGCCCAAAAGTCGCCTGCTTCCCTCTCGCCCGCCAACAAAACCACAGACAGGTTACGTAACTCTGTCGCCAGAGCACTGCAGTGACGTCATATGAGGAACGATTTTCAGTTAGTTGTATCAGGGAGACTCTATACTCTGTTGTAGAGTATCCCTGGTTGTATAGAAAAAGTGTAGCACGCTCATCATTTTGGTGATTTCTCGACATTAACGACGACATGCCGAGTCGTTGCTTTGTCGTCAATTGCTCCTAGGGATCGGGCGATGGTGTCCCCATGCACAGATTTCCACAGGACCCCGCAGTTCGTGCTAAATAGGTTATGTTTGTGAGTGCGAAGCGAGCGTTGTGGAAGCCTGAAACGATATCTTACTTGTGTTCAGATCGCTTCACGGAAGTTAAAGAATCAAAACTACTTACTAGTTGTAGTAAAATATGCATATGATTGATGACCATAAAGATTTTCTATCACACAACTTGAAACATAACGATTTCTTCCTCGGAAGTGAGATTGTGGTCGAAGTAGTATTATATTGACACCCAACTCGCTGCCACGAGAGAAATTGTTATGTTATACGCTAAGTCATGCAAAATCCTATTGGCCATCAATCAAATACATATTTTACTACCAGTAGAAAGTAGTTTTGCTTTTGTAACTCGGTGAAAACAAACCTAAATAGCATTTATCCTCAGACTGGCGGATGTTCCCGACAGGGCGCCGCCATTTTTAAAAATAAATAAATCTGTTAGAATTAATGAGATTATAGTTTGTTTTCATCAAGTTAGAAATCAAAACTACTTTCTACTCGTAGTTAAATATGTATTGGAATCATAACCAAACGGATTTTGCATGACACAACTTATAACATAACGATTTCTTCCACGGAAGCGAGGTGGGGGTCGAAGTCACAATACTGCGTGATAAATTTCTTGCTACAATCCCATGGTTAATGTCCACTCAACAGTATGTAGATACTAGTCAATGTGCGTCTTTATATTTGGTCTTATAATCCTGATTAGTTTATTATCATACTTGTATGCATTTTGAAACTAAATAAAAAGCAGACGATCTGCTGATACTTATAGTGAATTCATAACAGAACTGTAATATCTAGACATTTTATAGTTTGCCAATGTGAATCATAATTCGCACACACACCCTAGTGCATGTTGTCTGTCTCATTACACTTCACGGCGAAAACAATGATTCTGTTGAATGCTACGACAAATGAATAAAAAAAATGCAAATATTGAAATTAAAACAGATTAAAGTTATAGGAACAATATCAGGCCATGAATATCCACAAAACTGTTCCAAATGACGTGTCTTTTAACAGTTTAATATACGAAAAAGTGATAAATTTTTTCAGGTATTGGTGTATAGTCTCATTGGTCACCCAAGATAGCACACCTGGCAACTAATTGCATAATGTCCGCCTTTCTTTAAAAACTGAAATTTAGTTAGCCAATAATGGGCAATCAATGTATTGCCGGTTAATCCTTTGAAAGAAGGACGTTGTTTTTACGCAGACACCGACACGACAGAGTGTATTCAGTATAGATTAGTAAATCTACATACATAAACACTACCTTTTGACAATTCCGCTGTGTAAGATAAAAAGTAATTAATCAATCAGCGTGTTATCGGTTAATCCTTTGATCGATGTTTATAATGTTGAATATTTACTCCAGACACAAGAAATGCCAAATGGGAACCTTTGTCGGGTAATCTAAGTGTGTTACCACTAATTATACCTGTTATAAATTCATTAACTTACCATTAAGTGAATGATGACAAATAACATGTGTAGGTTTATACCACCTAACACGGGTTACAACAAGGGAGTATTAATTGCTTTTATTGCATGTGAAAACTTATGGGCAGACACTGTTTTGAGAATACAAACAGATTTTTACATGACATGATTAAATATCGAGGTAAAAAAAACACAGAAATGGGATCAATTTGGATCAGTCATTATACAAATAGGGCCTAACGACACCAATCGATTTTGACAGAATCGTCTATGAAAACAAGTTGTAACTCGGAAACTAGGCAAAGCAGGAGACAAAATTAAATGACAGTAGATTGTGAGAACATATAGCTTTCATTTTCCACAACAATTGTCACGATTTCAGGTTTATACAAGCCTGTAAACAAGATACTTTCACCCCTAAAATGTAGATGAATTCTGCATCGGCCCTCTAAGCTATTCCTCATATGACGTCACAGAGGCGCGCCGCTCTGATTGGTTGAAATTTCGTTCGCGGTTGAGAATTGTGCACTGTTGTCAAAAAGGTCGATTTAAGTCAATTAAAGGTCGAAATGAGTAGTTTTAATGACGGGGTTTCATTTATTACGATGCCAGTTAGTGATTTATGTATTTGTACCCCCTAGGGTTTATGTGACCTTTAAGAGCAACACACGTGTTAGTCACGATCAATGAAATTACGGAAAAATTGGTTTCACATTGAGCACCGTGTTTGCTTGAAATATTACGATTTGAGACT